GGGGGTTGAGGGGGAGTATGGGGGAGGGGATAAGGGGGGGGATAAGTAGGGTGGGGGTGAGAATGGAGGGAGGGGATTGGGTGAGAAGGGGGTGGGGTGAGAAAAAGGGAATGAGTTGGGGTGAGAAGAAGAGTGTGGGGAAGGTGAGAAAGAGAGAATGGGGGTTGAGAAGGGTGTGTGGGGAGGAGGAGAAAGAGGGAATGGGGGTTAATAAGGGGGTGGGGTGAGAATTGGGGATAGGGGGGTTGAGAAAGGGGAGGGGGAGAAAGAGGGGTGGGATGGGGTGAGAAGAGGGTGGGGATGGGGGTGAGAAAAGAAAGGCACAAAAAAGAAAAACAAATAAGCAATACTTTTCAATAACAAAATATTAATGTAACGAATAGCTTAGAAACCCACACTATTCTACCCATTCCCCTTCCGTCAATAAAAGTTATGAATGAAAATAAATATCTTCACAAGATGTATTTCAATTCGAATGTATATCTCCGTCAGGAATACATGAAGATACATTCGAAACCGGCCAAAGTACAGCTATTGTATTGTGAAAGATATTCATTCTCATTCATATCTCTTTTTTTTTTACATTTGTCAATATGAATGCGGTTCCCTCTTTCCTGCATCTTACCTTTTTAGCTTCCCTTAAACTTACCTTCCTTTTTTCTACATTTGCCAACATGAATGCGGTTCCCCTTTCCCTTATCTCATCCTTCTAGCCTCCCTTAAACTTACCTTCACCTTTATCTTACCTATACTAAACTAGCCTCCCTTAAACTTACCTTCATTTTTATTCTTACCTTTCTTGTTCTTTATCCTTACCTATTCTTTATCATTTATTCATTTACCTATTCTTTATTGTTACCTTATCCTTACCTATTCTTTATCCTTACCTATTCTTTATTCTTACCTTTATTCTTCCCTATTCTTTACTCTTACCTATTCTTTATTCTTACCTCTTCTCTATTCTTACCTATGATAGTCATGTTGGCAGAGAGAACGTGGGTGTTAAAAGTGGGCGCTTCTGCCACCACCTCGCACCTGTACTGACCACTTGACGAAGTCTGGACATCCACTAATTCCACCTCGTGCAGGTTGGAATTCTCTGCCTGAGGAGGAGAAGGGAAGATGGGTCAGAAACGTGGTGTTTGTGAGAGAGAGAGAGAGAAAGAAAGAGAGAGAGAGAGAGTGAGAGAGAAGAAAGAGATAGAGAGAAGAAGAAAAAAAAACACGTCTGGACATCCACTAATTCCACCTCGTGCAGGTTGGAATTCTCTGCCTGAGGAGGAGAAGGGAAGATGGGTCAGAAACGTGGTGTTGTGTGTGAGAGAGAGAGAGAGAGAGAGGAGGAGAGGGGGGGGGAGAGAAGAGAGAGAGAGAGGGAGGGAGGGAGGAGAGAGAGAGAGAGAGAGAGAGAGAGAGAGAGAGAGAGAGAGAGAGAGAGAGAGAGAGAGAGAGACTGGGAGAGACAGACAGAAAGAGAGAGAGAGAGAAAAGAAAAAGAAAAAAGGAAGAAACAAAACAAAAACAACAACTAATTCCACCTCGTGCAGGTTGGAATTTTCTGCCTGAGGAGGAGAAGGGAAGATGGGTCAGAAACGTGGGGTTCTGGGTGGTGGCAGTACTGATGTTGGTTTCCTTGTTGTCAGGGAAATTTTGACTATGTAGGTCTGCTTCCATTTAGTCTGCTGAACCAAAAAAAAAAAAAAAAATTAAATTGCCTTTTTCGTCTTGAAATTGAAATTGACTTTTAGCTTCTGGAACAAAAAATATTATATTGACTTTTTTCTAGAGTATTCTCACGGTTGTTAATGGTGAGGAACTCTTCATTATCGTAATTAAAAGAGGGGATTTTTGGTTTTACTTCTGGTAATTAAAACAATAGCAAGTGCATTACAATGATGATAAGTTAATGATAACAAAAGACGCTAATCGTAATGATAACACACACACACACACACACAATCACACACAATCTCTCTCTCACATACACACACACAATCACACACACTCACACACACAATCACACACACTCACACACATCTCTCTCACACACTCACACACACACACAACACACACATCACACACACACTCAACACACACACACACACACAATCACACACAACACACACACCACACACACAATCACACACAGCACACACACACACACACAAGTATAAAGTATACATCGAACTGTCCCATCCTCCCACCCTCCCATCTACCTCCCACCCCCCCACGCAACCTCCACCCCTCAACCCCCCCTCACCTCACCCCCCCCCCCACTCACATTGACCGTGACTCCAGCGACGCTAAATACCACCATCTTGGGGTCGTTCCTCGGGATGAACTGGTAGAACTGGCTTCCGTCCTTCCACCACTTCAAGGAGTAGAGGACCTCGCCCTCGAGAGCGAAGTGGCAGCGGAGTCTCGCCCTCTGACCGATCACCAGGAAGGGCGGCACCACCACCTCCGTCACTCGCAGTCCTGCAGGAGTGGGAGGAAGGAGAGTGAACGGTTGGGAAGGTGAAGAGAATATGTATATAAGTGTGTGAATATGATTTTATCATTTTTTTCATTATTATATTGGATTTATTATTATTATTTTGTTTTTCAAAATTGTTATTGTTATTATTATGTATGTGTGTGTGTGTGTGTATGTGAGTGTGTGTGTGTGTGTGTGTGTGCGTGTGTGTGTGTGCGTGTGTGTGTGTGTTGTGTGTGTGTGTGTGTGTGTGTGTGTGTGTGTGTGTGTGTGTGTGTGTGGTGTGTGTGTGGTGCGTGTGTGTGTGTGTGCGTGTGGGTGTGTGCTTGTGTGTGCATGTGTGTGTGTGCGTATATTAACTATAAGAATACTGATAATGATTATAATGATAATAACAATGATAATGCTAATACTAATACTAATGATGATAACAATAATGATAATGAAAAAATAATGAATAATAATAATAATAATAATAATAATAATAATAATAAATAATAAAAATAATATATATAATGAGAATGTCAACAGTAGAAATAAAAACAATAATAACAATAATGATATCACCCTTCCCATCATCATTTTCATAATTACAGCTGCATCATTCAGTATACATCTTGAAAATCTGATATTTGCTAATGATGAAAAAACTAAAAAAAAAAAAAAAAAAAAAAAAAAAAAAAAAAAAAAATCAGCACAATTCTCGCACTCACTTAAAAAAAATATATATATGAAATAGATTCAGGAACTTCACACCACAAGAGATGTAATTCACGCCTCTCGTAATTCAGATAGAAAATTTAATCGGAACATGTCAGTTACCTCTCGCTTTCCATTTTTTTTTTCCTTTTTTTTTTAGTTTTTTTTTTGAGTTTTTTTCTTCTTTTGCATTTGTCATAAGGAAATCTGGTCGGTATTGGCATCATTTATTATTCATTTTATTTTTTTTTTTTTTTTTTTTTTTTTTTTTTTGGTTACTGTTATCATAAATATCTTTATTATGATGATGACAATGATAATGATAATGAAAATGATAATGATGACAATGAAAATAATATGATAATAAATGAAAATAATAATATAATGATAATGAAAATAATAATATGAAAATAATAATATAATGACAATGAAAATAGTAAATATAATGAAAAATGAATGAAAATAATAATGATAATGATAATAATAATGACAATGAAAAAATGAAATGAAAATAATGAATAATGAAAATGACAATGACATGATAATGATAAATGATAATAATAATGCATGAGCGCAAATGATGATAATGAGCATGATGAATAAACAAGCCAATGATACAACAACATCAAACAGACATATCTATCTGATCTTTAACGTAAGGTTGACGGAATGACCTTCATTGACGCTCTATGCAAATGTCACGCGAAAGGTCATAAGGTCATTGGAATATGCGTAAAGCTATTTTTAGAAAAAAAAAGATAAAATTATTTAAGATAAAAGAGTGAAAATCGTTTAGGAAGAGAGGGTGTGGTGGAGGAGGAATAGGGGGGTAGGGGGGAGTGAAGAAGGAAGAGGAGGCAGAGAGGTAAAGGGGAATTAGATGAGAGAAAGATAGGGAGAGAGAGGAGAGTAAAGAAAGGGGGATATAGTAAGGAGGAGAGTGAAAGGGTGATAAAAAGAAAGAGAGAGGGGGGGTGAAAGAGAGAGAGGGGGGGGAGGAGAATGAGAGAGAGAGAGAGAGAAGTGAGATAGAGAGAGAGGAGGGGGGATGAAAGAGAGAGAGAGAGAGGGAGAAGAGAGGGAGAGAGAGAGAGAGAACCAACAAAATCAATGACGACACAACACACACACACAACCACACGAAACAGAGATAAAATACCACAATAATACCAAAACAAAACAAAAACAAAAAAATAATAGATACCAAAAAAAATACTAAAACATCCATAAATAGACAGGATGAGGATGCTTTAGAACAAGCTTTTATCAAGATTGTATTGCACTTGTGATTAAAAAATGGAAAAGGGTGAGAGGGTGAGAGGGGGGAGGGGGGGAGAGAGAAATCGAGAAAGACAGACAAAACCATTAAATGAAAGGAGAGAGAGAGTGGGAGGGAGAGAAGAGAGAGAGAGAGAGAGAGAGAGAGAGAAGAGGAGATGGAGAGAGAGAGAGAGAGAGAAAGAGAGAGAGAGATGAGAGAGAGAGAAGAGAAGGAGAGAGAGATGGAGAGAGAGAATGAGAGAGAGGAGACGAGAGAGAGAGAGAGAGAGAGAGAGAGATGGAAAGGGAGAGGCGTAGAGGAGGGGAGAAAAGAGAAATCGAGAAAGTACAATTAGAAAACCATGAAATGAAAAGAGAGAGAAGAGAGAAGAGAGAGAGAGATGAGAACAGATTAAATGGAAAAAGGGGGCAAAGAAAGCATAATAGGAGAGAGGTAAGGTGGAGAGAAGAAATGAGAGAGAGAAAAGACAGATTTTAAAAACACAATTAAAAGGAGAGAGAGACAAGAAGATAAAGAGAGAAGAAGATGGGGGGGGGAGAGGGA